TATATATATATATGTATTTTATAAATATTATATATAATACTTCTGTGTACAAGTAAAGAGTTGGAATTATATATAATACTTTTATAGATATGTAAGATAATAATAAATAAAGAGAGAAAATATTCGTTTTCGTAAATAAAGTGGCGGTAAATTATTGCAGAAATTTTCACTCACCTGGGACGTTCGCTTGCGACGCGATGTCGAGCACGCAGCGCATGGTATCCAATCTGGGGTTTCCGTCGAGAACGATAAGACTAGCTTCTTCGAGATGCGATTGACACTCTCTTATCAACTCCGGGGTAACCGCGGTGAAGGATTCCATTTCGCTGACACAGAAGTGACATTCACCGTTGACGTCCACTATCACCGTGAATCTGTAACATTAGCGGATCTGTTAGACAATTCTTATCGCCGATTACTCGTTAAACGAGTAGCAAGGTGTGGCAAGATTATAATAATTCGTACCTGGCGGTGTTCATGTCCGACATCCGTTTTACAATTTCGCCGCCGGTTCCTAAACTCTCGAGAATGACCTTTCCATACTCGTCGTTACCAACGACGGATATCAACCGCGTGTTCTCCAAACCGAGCTTGATCAGAGCATCGGCAACGTTTCGAGCAACTCCGCCGCAACTGCGTCTGCTTTGTCCGACGTGTGTTCTGCCATCGTACTGAAAATAATCAATCTCTTCAGGATCATTCAGAATTGACGTAGATTCGATTACAAATTAATTTCCTGGAGTTATATTTTTCATAGAAGAAAATGTAAAAATAGGAAAATAATAAGATCATCTTTGAAGAGAACATTTCTTCGAAAAAATATAGTTGAAAACAAGAGGCGCATTTCTCTGGTCTGTAATGATTTAATTACATGTCGAGGATTCGCTTCGGGGTGTACGTAGTTGAGAGCAGCAGGCACTTGAGACAGACAATGCAAAGACCTACCCTCCCTGTGGTAGAGCTAAGCTGTTTACTCTTCCGCTCTCTCCACCCCATTCCTCTGTACTAATGTATAACTCATGCATATGTATTTTCATTCTTTCTTTCTCTCTCTTTCTCTTTCGCAGTTCTATCACGTCCGGTAACATATGACATTTGTATCTCTCTACCTCTTCTACCTCAACTCTATTTCTATATACTCAACGCTGTAGTTGAAGATCCGCGCACCCCTTGCAAACACAAACTTCATCGATTAAACATACTATATTCCTTGAAGATGATCCTATATTCATTTTACAAATAAGCAAGTTATTTCATTGACTCCTTTTTGTGCGACAAAATAATAACATGGAATATTAATTTATTTCGTGGATCTACAAAGAGAAATCCTAGACCGAAGCGGAGCTCGCTTTTTCCAAGAGTGATTGTCCGCCCTTGCGGACTCTCCCTTCGTGTCTTCCCTTTATCAGTCTATTTCTCAAGCGACGGCGCCTTCTCGAGTCTCACGCCATCACTCGTCGCTAGTCCGGTTGCCTATCTCGGGCGCTGTCCTCGACTATCTTCCGGTTCGCATATCCTCGGCGCCGCGTTGACGAGATAGATAGGAGAAGATGGAAAGAGTATAAGATATAGATAGCTAGCTAGCTAGTTAGGTGGGTGGGTAGGTAGGTAGGTAGATAGATAGATAGATAGATAGATAGATAGATAGATATATAGATAGAGAGGGAGGGAGAGGAGAGTCGCGTGCGTCCTCCCGTAACGCATAATATTGTCTCATGCGCCGGACGAGAAGCGTCGAGCATCGTAGCCGTGGCGTCGCGACGCTCGGTCAAGCTCTCGACTCTGCGTGATTCGTGGCAGTGAGTGTCAGCGCATCGAAGCGTCGTACGAGCGACATGCGCTACGGCTGGCAGCGGCCTTGTCAAGTGTCGATTGCGATCAGGACGGTGATCAGAACGGAGACGACGACACGAAGGGGATACTATCAACGCCGGTAAAAAAAAAAAAGTCGGAAAACGAAGACGTCGCCGAGACGTTGGTGGTGAAAGGTGTTGCGAGAGGACGCATGACGAGGAAAAGAGGGTGACTGGCATGAACGACGTGGACGACGTTGTCGAGGACTCTCGTGGCGATGCCCGTGGAAGTAGCGCTACGAACTACACGAAAACGAAGACGACGACGACGACGATTACGTTCCTCGTGTACCCCCCGACCGCCGTACGGTCGACCTGACTGACGACACCCGGTCGTAACGATTCGCGTTCTCGGCGAACGGTCGCGCCTACGCAGCGATCCGCGTGTACGTAGGTATCAGCGATGTGAGAATTTGCGTCGTAGAAGGCGCAATCCGAGGTCAATAACAAAACGTGAAGATTTGGATTCTTTTCGAGTGTTTTACGTGGCATAAGACATATTGGAAAAATCAGATTTATCAGCTTTCGAATAGAAAGACTTCTAAACGAAGAAAAAGACTTTCTCTGATGACAAGAATCTCCTCTGAAGAAAGGATTTTTCCTAGGCAAGAATTTTTGTCGAAAACGCAGATCATAAAGACACTGAGCTTCTAGAAAGGCTCTCCTCTTTGACATCGCGCGTGCCTTTCAGCTCGAGGAATCTTATGCAGAGGTATTTAATGGATCTTATAAACCGGAGCGCGGTTAACGCAAACGGTATCATCCCTTTACACCGCGGGAATGTTCCCTAATAATGTGCCATCCTCTTTGTTCCTTTGCAAGTTGAACTTCCAGTGAAGAGACCGCGATCATTGCAGTTTCGCGTTGAAACCTTGAAGCGTAAAGATGCATCTCTCCAAGAAAGTGATTCAAAGTGTGCTCGCGTTCAAGGATGCGCGCATCCTCGACGATGCGATCCATGTAACGAACCAGCGTAATCAGCTCGATTATACGATTGTCAAAATTGAAGGACGAATTCGAGTGACGGCGTAACCGATGCTTGCGGCGAAAATAGGACAAAGCGTTGCTAGCGACGATAAATTCCTTCGGGAAGGTCGGGAGGAAGATTGCATAACGCCACGTTCCCTCCCTACATCCATTACCACCTTCTAACCCTCTCTCTTTCCTCGCCCTCCTTCTCCTACCCTTTCCCTCGTGTGTGTCCGTGCGCGCGCGCGCGCGCTTCTTCTCGTCGTCCTTTTTCTCTCTATCTTTTCGCGCCTCTTCTTCGATATGTCACTCGTATCGATATCTAATTAAAGGCTATCCGATAATCTTTTTTTATCACGCTCGTCCGTCCGTCTGTCCACTCATCCCTGTAGAAGGCGGTGGAGTAGCTTCGTCCCTCGCTCCGGCATCCGGCATCGAGAAAAGATCGCACGCGGCATCGCGTGCGACATCGATCCGCGCGTGACTCTCTTCTCCTTTTTTTTCCTCCGCGGAATTATGTAAAGTAGGCAGTACTGGACGCCGGCCAGGACGTTGACTGCTCGCCCGAGACACTGGGAATAATTTCTTCGTTAACAAAAAGAAGGTAACACGCGCTCTCCATGTCTCTCTTTCTCTCGCTCGCTCTCTTCTATATATGTTCCTCTTTCGTAGTCGTGTAGCGGTGTAGAGCGCGCGCAGGGTTTGAACGATCCCGTGTTTTCATTACAATGCGTCACTAGCATATACTCGTGGTAGCGGCCTGCATGCAACGCGAGTGCCGATGCATGGAAACGGGAGCACGCTTTGGCGCATCGCTTCGGCCGAGTCAAGCTCCTCTATCGCCGTGGTGCGATCCTGACGAAGAGATCTCGAGACGATACCGCTCATAAAACGTCTTTACACCGAGATAGTTGTCTTCTCGTTCCATATCTCCTCTCGCAATCCCAAGATCTGTTACATGTTCGAAAACAGTAACTTTCTTCATGTTCTGCTTCATATATTTTCATTGTCTCTTTCATATATTTTCGTTTCTTGGTCAGTGTACCGTAAATTATGCTTCTCTCTAAATCTCTTTGTCTTTTTGTAATCGTACATCTTTTTTCGCAACTATCGGATATGTTACTCTTTCTGGTTTTTCTTTATCGCTCGATTCTTCGTGCCGATACACTCACTCAGGCGCATATCCTCTCTCTATCTCGCACGATTTATCTCTGTCCCTCCTCAGAGGAGCTACATAGAGCCAGGCGGTGGAAAATCGATAAATAGAATCGCCTATCGCACGCTACAACTGTCAGAAAGAAATACAATCCGCTGAGGCACACGCTATCCTTCTCCCACTTCTGGCTTCGATTCAAATGCACGCACGTTGAACGTTAAATTCCGCGTTCCATGTGTCCCTGTTAAAGTGGAGGGAGAGAGAAGTACAACGGTGCAGAGGATCCAGAATCAAAAATCAAATCAATCTGAAAATTTTAGAATTCTGATACAATGATTGAGAATTTAACTATTCGATTATCGAATGATACAGTAATAAGTGATAGACCTGAGAATATCTATTCGAAAATCTCCATTTCTTTCACACGTTTTATTATGTGTTTTCCATTTGTCCGCAGGGAGATCGTCCACGGTTACCGGAAGACATCCAAGACGTCCAAGACGGCGCTCAACGTGCACAACGATTTAAAGTGTGCGTGACACGAGGGGAACCATGAACGTTATCACCAACGACCTTCCGGTGCGGCGATGCAGCACGACGTGCATCGCGTGATTCGCGCCAGTTTCAAGTAGAGGATTGGCCTCCTCCTCCTCCTCTTCCTCCCTAACGTCGTAAGTACCGCGGCGGCGACCACCACTAACGGTGCAACGCGCTAGCCCGTCTCTCCCACTCAATCCCCCATATTCGCGGGGGTACAATCCTTACGACGAGGACACGCACACCAGGGTGGCACGATAGTATGACGGTGATGCTGCTGCAACGTTCAGTCACCCCGCAGTCGACGCACAGCCAAAAGACAGCGACGAAGGACTGCAGCGCGAAGCCGCCCTTTCTCTTTCTGCTAGACGACCGTGAGGAGCATCGACACTCGACCGATACCAACACCACGACTACTACAAATAACAACAATAACAATAATAACAATAACAACAATAATATCAACAATAATAACGTCTTCAAGAGGGGCGGCGCCCGGAGGAGCAGCAGCAGCCACGATTGCGTCGCCGACGAGGCGCCGTCGTCGGTGACGTCCCAACGACTCGCCGGCGGTGGTCACGACGTCGCAATGCGATATTACCGTCTCTGGATCTACGCCTGTAACCTGGTGTTGCTTGGTAGCGCGGTCGGCTTCGCCGCCGCGGTGTCGGAGACCCTTTTATTCACCGGCGACCCACGTCGATACGTGGTGCCGGGTGTACCTCGTGTCTACGACCCCACCGCGCTCTACGGCTATCTGGCACTGGCGGCGCAGTTAGGCTTGGTGCAACTGCTCGGCTGCATCGCCGCCAGGCGACTCAGCGCCCGGCTGCTTCACTTTTACTGGATACTGCTGCTAGTACTGCTGTTCGGCGACGCCGTAGTAGGCGTCGCCTGGATTTTTCGTTTCGAGAAGATGCGCACCGACCTCAGGCCCACGCTCAAGCTGCGTTTGCAGGTGCGGGCGTCGTCTCAATTTATATCCTTGATAAGACTCTTGACTTTCGTTACAAGCATATTGGGTTATTAGAACATTAGAAGCGAAAAATTCCAAATTTTTTCTCGCATTATATACATCAAGTTTACTTTTCATGTGCAAATATAAATTCAATTATATAATAATTAATTGATTTGTTTATTATTCGTTTACTAATAAAAGACAATTTACAAGTTTTTGATTTTTATTTAATCAATCTATATTGTCAAAAGCGAGTGACGACATGCAAAAAAATTAACTTATCTTGACGTGTAATGATTGCAAGAAAAGAATTTTCGCTTCTCAATTTGAGAGATTGTGAGCCTTAATATGATGATTTCTCGCATCCGCAGGCAGACTACGGTAAGGAACCGCGATTCAGCGAGCAGTGGGACCGACTTCAGCGGGAGTTTATGTGTTGCGGGGTAACTGGACCCAAGGACTTCTCAAACTCCCGCTGGCCGCAGACTTGTTGCGGACCAAGCCTCAATGCGAGTGAACCCTGCCAGAATCCGTACGGGGGCGGCTGCGAGGAGGTGCTCGTACGCTGGCTCAGAAAAACAGCGGATCTGCTCTTCGTCCTGGGCTTTTGCGTGATCGCATTCGCCAAGCTCTGCTTCCTCGGAATATTACGCTATGAGATACGGGAGATGATACAGAAGATACGTTTACTGAGGGAACCGCCGCCGCCGGCTACGCCGTTCGGACAACCACCCTTCTGCCAGGTGCTGCCGGAAACTGCCAATAACGGCAGCATCGTCAGACGCACAACGCTACCGAACGCAGTCATGCCTTCCGGTAAGTTTCAATTTAATGTAATTCTCACCTGCAAAAATCCTGTAAGATCGCAGAGTCGCTTGAGATCGACGAATCAGATTAATAAAGTTAGTGATCCGTTATCTAAATTCTAGTTCTTAGCCAAGTTGTTGAAATGGAGTACCTATATTCGGTGACAATGTACTAATAGACGACTGCTCGGATATGTGTGGATTAAAAAATCCGCAACTTCGAATATCTTCTAGATAGCCGAGTAGCACTGCTATCTATAACAAAATAGAGGCAGAATATTAATGGCAATCTTAATCAGTATATATGTACTTGGCAGAGGCGGTAGCGTCTCGTGCCAAGTATATATATCTAACTCTAACGAAAGAAGAAGAGAAAAGAAAGAGACAACAATGAAAGAGGCTACAGGAGTCTATTCTCTAATTCGGGGAATAAACATCGTCTCGTTTCCAGGCAACGCATCACTGTTGCTGCAATCGGACGAATGCAATACCGGCCGGCATCCCTTGCTGGCGAACAATCTGCAGGATGGCGGCGCCGACAGCGACACCAACAGCCATTGCGCGCTGATACTGGAAGAGTCAACGCCTACTTCGGCCAACAACCACAACAATTGCACGGCTGCTGGCGGCCGCGAGAAGAGCAACGGAAACAACAATTACGAGATGCGTGAGTTTAATCGCAGATTGCTGCTATCAAATGGCGCCAGCCCGGGCACAGGCGTAACGGTAACGAGCAGTCAGAGTAAGCGTACCTGACTATGGAGATGGTGGCTAAACACCTCGAATCGTTTCCTATACAGGAGCAATCGGCGGCATGCCGACATACCGTTATACAAATAGAACAACAACATATATACACACTCTCTCAGGCGTTTTAGTTTCTTTCTTAAGAGAAAGTAAAACACATACAGCGAGCTACTGGCTGGCGCGAGTCCAACAGACGGTGGAGGAAACGCTGTCGTCATCATTGTGTCGATTAGATCGGCGAGAGTGGAAGGGTTGACAACCACTGCATAACTTGTCTCTTATATAGGGTTGCCATACGTCCTCTTTTCCCCGGACACCGTCCTCTTTTTTAGGACGTCCGGGGGGATTTTTCGAATGTGTCCGGGGTAATTATGAATGTCTGGGGTTTAAGAATATTCATAAATATTCTGCTTTTTAGATTTAATTAACCACATCATATTCAATCACTTCAATACAATTGAAGTTATCAACCATTTGTTTTTTTATTTTTATGCGTGAATCTAATAATAAAACTTCTTTTAAATTAAAAACATGTTTAATTTATTCCTTTTACTCTAAGTACTAATGAAAATGAGATCTAAAATAATTATTAATTTATTGTTATAATTTATAAGCAACTTGCTAACCTATTCGCATTTTTGTATACGTTCGGGGTTGCAAGCGAAATGTCCGGGGTTTCTGAGCTATAAGTTCTAGTTTTGAAAATTTTATTATGGCAACCCTACTCTTATATAGCTTGTCCCCTTTTACCTTCAAGTCTGCCGATTCGCGGTAGTGTGCGCTTAACATAGTAACACTAAGAAAGACCATGGCGACAGACGTTGGCGTTGAACGCTGAAACACATGAGAGACCAAGAGCATTCACGAATCGATATCACGGTGGAATTATACATTAATGAAAGACCAAATCAAAACGTATACACAGTAGTAAGAGTATCTCCGTTTTGTAAGGCGAAACTCGCGAAGGGAAGTTTGAATTTACCAAGATCGCGCAAAAATGAAACTCGATCGATTTTATGCCATCGGAAAGAACGAGGCTGATTCGGAACGTTGCCCTATGATTCCTTAAACGAGCGGCTCACGAGCAACTCATCCCGCGTGACAGTCGAAGAACAGTTCTATTTACGGTTCGTATTCTCCCAGTCGTAAGCTAATTTTGTCATCGTCGACATCGAGAGTTATAAAGAGTAGATACATACTAATTTTAAATGACCGTTAGAGACTACTTTCTTTAGTCTTCTGACTTTTATACTCCACTTTTCCTATGTGAACTTTCGCTGTGTTTGTGTGCGTCGAAATTATATCGCGAGTTGCTCATCAACTGCCCTGAACTCTCTTCGCAAGTGTATACCTTATATGCATGTCCTTCCGTCCTCGCGGTCGGTGTAACTACTTTTGTAGATTTATTTTTAGTCGTAAGATTTTCTTACGCTTCCCATCTGAGTAAAGCATCATCGATCGTGTCATCAATGTACCGGATATCGTTCATCGTGTCGTTTCTCATGAAAATAAGTCATACGTATCATGCTGGTAGTATATCACAATCGCGAGAGTAACTATCATCATTTATAAATGGCACACGAGGTTCTTGTTCCCGCCGTATTTCCATTTCGGTTGTCTTCGGATCGATATGCGAATTAATTAAAAACTTTGAGTTAGTAATTGGATATCTCCTAAATCTTGATCCTATCTAGGATATAAACACGTTATCTTAATAGGGGATACAATTCCATTTTCTTTCTCTCTATTTTATGTCGCAAAGATGTTTAAAAAATCTCTCTCCCAATTTTTCAGTTATTCTTGAGATATCTTTCCAATTCGTATTATATTACATTAAAACAACGTCCAAAAAGAAGACAATTTAGTTAGCCAACGCTAATCGATGTTGTCGAAACTCCAAAAGAAGAACTTTCGATTCAAGACTTCAACAGCTTTCGTTGTTCGAAAAGAAACTTGAAACTATACTTTTTTTACGCATTTGTTTCTCTTTAATAATACAGACAATCTATGTATCTGTCTAGACAAGGTAACTGCGCTTCTCGGGAACGTTGCCGCCTGATAAATTATTGAATCACGCGTCTATACTCGTAAAGCTTTATAACGATTCTTAGACCTTTGAGGATAATTATGATAGTTACAAGGTAATATTGTGAAATACTGCAACATTGATTCTCCTCCCCTATTATCCGATTATATGGATGTACATCTATTTGGATAAACCTTAAACAAGGAAAATTCATTTACTTTCTTCGTTAATAATATAATAGAAAGAGTAAAAGAGAACGAGAGAGAGAGAGAGAGAGAGAGAGAGAGAGAGAGAGAGAGAGAAATATCTCCAATATGTAAACGATGATTAAACAATTCCTAATTGCTTTTACATATATACATTTAAAAAATACGCGTCATGCAAGTAGCTTGTACTGATTTGTTCCTTGTAATTGGACCATCATTATTGGGCTAAAATAAACGCAGACATTATTTCATTTTCATCTTTCGAATTTGTTTCTCTTTGCACGCCTCATCGGTACGGCTGTTTTGCCTCAATAATGGAGATCCATCTTATAATCAATAAAGATTTAGGATAACAAATCGAAATAATTGGCTTCCTAGTTAGGCTTAAAGGAATCTTAGGGTTATACATTTAATGGAGATGCAATGATAAGGGATACATATAGAGAGAAAGAGATAGAGTAGACAGATTGTATATATCGACATATAATAGAGATAATACTACGTGTCGATCGTCTGCTTAAGGAAAAACCGAGACATTATCTGTTAACTGTTCGAAGTCATGCGCGTCTCTGTCATGCTACTGAACGGGACACTTTACGTTAATCTGTCTGTCGCAGTTGGATTTATGTGTATCGTGAAATCTGACGTTTCACACATTTCCAAGTATGATTACACTAGTCTGGACAACAGGGTAATTATTAATCTCGAAAGATTGCCTGAACATTCTTAGGCCATTATTAGCAATGTGAAATATTGCGCGTTGTCGCGGTAAGATGTAGGGTCGATTCCTTCGACCTCTTTTCAGAGTTTACTGACAATGCGCAAGTCCGATCATTCTTTCTTAATCAGACCATCGAATTATCGTTGAATGTAATAAGCTAATAATAACGTCAGAAAGCTTACACCTCGCAGACACACAGCCTCTGCCACTAAATGTATATAAAGATGTTATATACAAGAGATAGATTAATCGTTTTTTATTTAATTAGTCAAATGAAAAAATACGTTCGAAAAAAATGTACGAAACTTATATTATACTTTGAACCACATACAAAAAAAACAAAATATTTAAATTCGCTACGGTTCTCATATTAATGTACCATCTACTACACACACAAAAAAAAAAGAAAAAAAGAGCGAAAGATTTTAGGTGGTTATATTTTACTTGGGTGATATATCTTCATGTTACAATCACACTGCAAGAAAGACTTCAAAGTTTAAACGAGCGTTTTGATTTGTAAGATGGATTGGTATTTAAATGTAATATACAAATTGAAGAAAAGTGAACGTGACAGGGAGCTTTGAATAGTGCCTGCTTAAGATCCAATTTATTATATCTCAAACAATTAGGTATGATCGAATAATTAGTCATTTATGGCATTGCACGTCAGATTCCAAATCGACGAATCAATTAATGGAAAACGATAGTTTACAAAAATGCTATCTTCTTTATATAAAAAGAAAAAGATAGTAGAAACAAATATAAATTTACACATCTTGCGTATCATCTTTTCTAGTATTGAATAATGCTGTTCTTTGACACACAAATCTATACGTTATAATAAATGATATATATATGTCAAATGCTTTCAGTTTGAAGGTATGTTTGTATAAAGATCACTCAACCACACGGCTTGTTGACGAATCGATCAGTTTCTGTTTGCGCATGTAATGCCATAAATGAGACATTTCATAGAATAACTGTAGAGTGATATTGGAAGTATGCACATTTAAAAGCTTTGATTATTTTAATATTGTATAAAGACGACGAAACACGATGCGAAAGAAAGTGTATCTGTGAGAAGACTGTGTTAGTGAAAAAAGGACAAATATTAAATAATTACACGTAGTGTTACAATCGAGCTCAATAGCGCGTTTACGTTGATAAACCTTTCATAATATCGTATCAACAAGCTTGCGTCTGTATTTAATTAAGTCATAGAGATATGTCGTCGTATTGCAACGGCCATATCTCATAGGTTTGCTATTCTATAAAGCGTTTGTTAATATACACCATACTCCTCCCCTATTCTATATATATATATAAATACGCGAAAAATCCCATTATTTGATATTATTAAGTGTACATAAAAAGAAAAAAAAAAAGAATATGGTGGTAATTGTATATAAATACTGTTACTGTTCTATAACTATATTATGTAATATGAATATAAGAAAAATTGGTTATTTAGTATAATTTTGATTGTGACGTTTTTGACTTACGTTTATTTTCGACTCCTTCACTTGCACAACAGTGTCCAAGACAGCCCCACCAATCACTACCTGGAATAAGACGACTCAGTATAAGTATATTTCAAGTATTGTTATCAGTAGAGATAGTGAAATCATATATTTATAACATGGCTTTAGCCTTGAATACGATATGCCTTGATAAGGCACGTTGGTAAATAATTTTTCAACATCGTGTCTTAAGTTCCTTTTAAAATCAATTTTATTTTCCTTCTAAACTTACCGGTTTTTGCTTCGATATTATCGATCGTACCGGTGCAGGTTCTACACAAGTCGTTTGAGATCTTTCGCAGAGATTCATAGCAATCTCAGCCGCGACTTTGGCATTATTTTCTATAAGAGCTATATCTGCAAAATCATTGAAAAAACGCGTGTTTTAAATATGCGTAAGAATAATATTTTACTATATTTCAATCTATTAGCTTTTCACTTACTTGCTTCAAGTGACTGACCACATGTAATATTATTGAGTTCGTTCAGAAGGAATGGTGTAACTTGCTTGCCTGTTATATGCATGGCACTGGCTCTTTCTAAAGCTTCAGATATAGCAGTATCTACAATATCAGGCTTCAATGTGTATTTTTCGGGAATCGACACTGCAAATAATATCCCTGTGTTAATGCCCAGGGCTCTTTGCGTCTCCACAATATCAGCTGCTTCCTTAGCATTGGAAACTCTATATGGCGCTTTTATTTTATCCAATGTCTCGGAACAATAAAAAGCTGGAAATTCTGGCGTTTCGCCAATTTTTATCACTGGTATCCCTTGAGTTTCCTACGAGCATAAAAGCCACATTTCTATGTCAATTTCTGGAAATAAAGTAATGAACATATTAAGAAGTGTTATATATGGAAATAAATGTATTTTCGTGTACTTACCAAATATTCCAAGGTCTTGCCAATATCCAAAATAGATTTAACACCGGAGCAAACAACTGCTACCGGTGTACGTCCAAGTTCAATCAAATCTGTACTTATATCAAAAGTTATATCAGCTCCTCTATGAACCCCACCAATACCACCTGTTGCCATTATTGGAATGTCTGCTGCGTGCGCAATCAACATTGTGGCACTGACAGTGGTACCGCCATTTAATCCATTCGATGCAATGAAACAGATATCCCTACGTGAACACTTCATGGTCTTTACAGAGTCTGCTTTAGATAGGATCTCCAACTGTTCATTATTTAAACCAACATGCACCTTTCCATCTATGATTCCTATTGTTGCAGGTACTGCGCCCTGAAATAAAAATTTGCCAACACTGTTGCTTGGATTAATTTTTACAGTCGTATCAGTGTATATAATTTATAATATATCCAATATTAGATAATTCTATTAATAAACCTCTCATCAAATTTTTGTTAAAGAGATACTAATTTTATATTTCTCGAAGAAATAAAATTGTTGTTCAGAAAAGTATCAAAATTCTAAGACAGTTTGTAAAGAATAAGTGAATAAGTGTTGGCAAATGTTGGTCCATAAATAACACAATGCTATAATCATATATATGTATCATCTATAATCATATATATTTTGGCAGACAAATGATGGCCTCTCTGTGTGTGATAAAACTTATACTAGTATTAATTTAAATGACAAAGATATCTATTGCTAGTATAAAAAAAACAAGTAATTGTATTTATAAATTTTTATATTGGATATCTCCCCCTATAACTGAATCAAAAAAAAAAAAAAAAAAAAAAAAAAAAAAAAAAAAAAAAAATCAAGCATGCTATACGAACTTGCTTTCTGACCGCGTCTTCGACTTTAAGCGCGGTGTTTAAATTATCAGGGTACGGCATGCCGTGGGTGACGATCGTCGATTCCAGTGCCACGATCGGCAGTCCATTTTTTCGGGCTGTCGTGACCTCAGATCCATAAACGAATGACTTTCGGCCGGCGATTGATCTCCGATGGATCGTCGGCGCGTTGGATCTCCTCCATAATTTTGCCGCGAGATCGTTCAAACGGATACGATGCATATTTGTAGAACGAACGCGGACACCGACGACGAACAGGCGACGACAGGCAAATTATTCGCGCGTGTCTTTTATATGGGATTTTCGTCTTTAACTCGGAGATAAACGGGATGACAGATAAGCAAATCGATAACCGAACTTTATTTGAAGCGAGTGGAGATAAACTGCATCTCGTGTCGATGGAGCAAGTGCCGGTTAGTAAAACACTTGTCACGATCGAACTACATAGTTTATCTCATTGCGATCTTATTCGACAGTTTTACGTTACTTCCGTTATTCAATTTTTAGATGGCGGTCAATAAAAATACCGATATTCGCGAATCGACATCGATTTTCTTGAATAACAACATCGACACGTTGTTGGACCCGAATTTAGACTGCGCAGATATATCTGACGTAATAAACTGACGTTCGGAAATGCATGAAGTTTACGCATGAAGTTGTGCGCAATTAAACGTATTTGGTTTGTGCGTATTCGTGTCTAGATATTCATACATCATGACTGTTAGCTAATATTTAATTTAAATAAAAAAATATATATCTAATGACACTTTTATTTATTTTTTAATATTATATATTCAATATTTCACATAATAGAGATGTTAAATTATATATATTTTTTTTATTTTCTTATATATAAGACAAGAAAAGAAAAGCGCGAAACCAAGAGTGCCAATTTTTTCGAATAACCCAATATAAAATATGTGATTTAAGAAAAATAAGAAAAAGCGAACTTTTACAATTTATTATTCAATTATTATTATTATTATTTTGCAATTTATTTTTTAATTTATTATTCTATTATTATTATTATTATTTTTTACAATTTATTATTCAATTATTATTATTATTATTTTGCAATTTATTTTTTAATTTATTATTCTATTATTATTATTATTATTATTTTACAATTTATTTTTTAATTTATTATTTTATTAAATGCGTTTAACAAAATGCTTTTTTTAAGCTATATAAAGTCGCGTGGAATGCATTTGACAAAATTGCATTACTGTTATAAATTTCATTATCCCAATGAGCAGAGAATATTTTTGAAAATGTTCTTAAAAATTTTTGAGAAACATTTTTATAAACATTAAAATAATGAGTTATTATTATTAAAATCCCCTTTTAATCATTAAAAAGGTTTTTATATTAACATTTGCTATTTCAAACAAATATTTCATGTAAAATAAATAATTAATAAACATATTAAATAAATAATATTATTTTTACAATCAATTGTATAAAGTACAATAAATATTAAAAATACATTTTAAAAATATTATCTGCTCATTGAGATGTTATGTATTTTCGATATTTCCTCATTCTTGAGAACAATATTTATTATTCTTTCTAATTCAAAATTGTGATACAGATGTGATGAGACAAAAGCGATTCTTACGACTATAATGTTTTACCGTAATATAATTATGATAATATATAGTTACCATAGCATTACACATTACATAATAACAGCAATCAATCCTTCAATTTCCATAATGCTCGATTATATCTAAACCACGAATGTTCCAACGCTACAAATAACCATTTGCGACACATTGTAAATATGAGTACAGAGACCAGATAAACATCTCAACTTCCGGTAATAAAGCATAGTCGTTCGATTTCAAAATTTCAATCAAATACAACTGTCACAAAGTGCATCACGTAAATGCTAGTCTCTATTAAAGGATACAGAATGTCGCGTTTAATAGAAACTAGCGTCAAATGGTACACTTTATTGATTGATTGATGCACTTTGTGACAGCCATATTTGATTCGCATAGTTCATGCTCGAAATCGGACGACAGCGCCCTAACGGAATCGGAAGTTGACAAGTTTAATTATTTGTGTTTGTCGCGCGCGGCTATTTGTGGTCACTAGTGGTGTTTAAACGTTTGCAATACAGATTTTATCATGATCAAAAACTCGAACGAATATCGAAGAAATAGAATCAATCTATTGCATAATTATAATATCGTATATCGTAATATCGCTACAGTTATAATTATATTACGATTATATATCACTTATTTTATCGTTATATCTGAATTACGATTTGAGGTTATGATTTGATAAATATTGTTTGTAAATAATCGTGTGATATACGAAGAGTGCCGAGAAAATTATTGATTACCTTATTATGTGTATATGTAATATATCACATACGTGATAATTCCATCAGTTGCAAATATGTTTGACAGTTTCATCAAGTAAACTTCGTGCGACCAGTTCTCCAAGCATTTTATGTCAAACGTATTAATAAAAATTATCGAAAAATTGAATTATCAAGAATAAGTATCATCTGCATGTAAACATGTAATATTGAAAGTGCAGAGAAAAATTTTGGGAGTGTGGAGAAAGAATAATATCTGTCGTATTATGCATAAATATATGTATGTACAATATATTGATTAGTGCAAGCGTGCAACAATTTTATCGAACATTTTTAAATGGGTAAGTTTATAAAATAATCTATAAAACCACAAACTATTTGTTTAAATCATATAATAATGTTGTTTATTATATATATAATCATTACGCTTAACCGCGATTATATACAACAAAAATGACACATTATTATAGCGACAATTTCTACGAGTTTTAGTTTTTAGCTTTTGAAATATTATCATATATATATGGATTCACAGTTATATCTATAAGCCTCAATATATTTTCCCATTTAATCGACAAATTTTTCTTCACAGGCTATTTTTTCTTCGCAAGCTATTTTTCTTGATACAACAATCTCGAAAACTTTCAGATTTAATTTGAGTATATATTCGGCAGAGATTATTCTCGCGGAAATAGACGCAATTAATTTTGACAGGTAATAAATAATAAATAATAAATTAAAAATAATAAATTAAATGAGAAATATAAATAAGAAATTAAATAAATTATAAATTGTACTCATCCATAACGGCTGCTCCATAGCAGGATACTTCATCGGGAGATTTCTCCTCCTCTTGTTCTCCACAGCATTAACATAACACTCACTCGCGAAAATTTATCATTATTTACGTCTGCGCGTACTAGAATACAATAATCAGCACGACGTTAGTCATACGTGACGTGCATTTTACAACATTGCCATAAAAAAATAAGGCGAGAAAGGTACTATTATTATCTTTAGAACAAATAAGTTACTATCTATTAGATATCCGTTATGTATCGCAAATTAATGTAAATGATAAATTTTAGATGGTGGAGACAAATCGAATTAATCAGCTAGTTAAAATGCGATGAGCTGCCCAATAATATATAATACTATACAACCGAAACTCGTTACTGTAAGTATAGTATATTAATAAACCTTGCGAAAAGTATGTATTATTAATATAGAAAAGATTTAATATATCCCGTTTTGAGAAGCGATGAGAGAGACGACATGCTCGCTCGAGCGTCGCGACGTAAATGACAAGGTCACGGCGTTTGTAAACAATGTATCGCGTTACATTGAGATGGGTATGCGCCGAACTCATTGTGCGTCATTTCGTGAAATATTTAACGCGTTACAAAATATTCACATCGCGAAATATTTAACGCGTTACAAAATAAATGAACGCCAAACGATTGTTCTCCTTATCATTCGCTTCGTGCGTCACGACGCGCTCTCGATTCGATAATGATAGATATAAATTTATATTAAAATTGGCAAAGTTCGAAATTGCGTCGGAAGATATCTATTCTAATTCAAGCATCGTAAGATACGGAAATAGTTATTGCTCGTAAATGTATCGCAAATGATATTATGTCTAACGATTTATCTCTTTATTATCTCTCGATTTATTATCGCCATTTCGATTTCTATTCGAAACTTATCGCACAAAAGACATTTATTTTGAGTGCGTGTCATTTATTTAAATTCGTATAATTTGCGTATTCATCTGCAATCGAAGCAATAGAAAAGCAATTATAAGTCATTATTCAAATTTGATATCTATATTAATAATCTAATAATTATTTCTTTTCTATCTAATAATTATTTATATATTTATCTATCTAATAATTATTTCTTTAAATATGAATAAATACACGAAAAGAAATACACGAGTTAAGATTACGAAATAATTTAATATACGAGTTAACATTACGATATGCGAGCTAATATACGAGAAAGATTAATACGCGCCCAATGTAAGATATCCGATAATTCGATTATTGACAGGATAATAACTTCGCGTCGATCCTGATTCTTTCCCCTCTCAATGCCTTCGTCGTAATGGAATGCGTCCCCACTACACCGTATGATCGTAGTAAGAGACATCCCCACTCTACGTCTCATTGATGGAGTAGGGCTTCTCCCACTATGTCTCATTGTAGGAGTAGGGCTTCCCCCACTATGCCGCACTGATCGTAGTAAAGTCCGTTCCGCTACATCTTACTGAAATAATTATTCTAACTCTATTACTAAATTTGATTGATGTTTTATAATTGCTATTCTATCGTTCCGATTTTAATTTTAAATAAATAAATATGCGAATTACTTGCTTAGATAAATGAACGTGACTTCGATACGTTCGATACATTTTTAAAATGTTTTGGCTGTACAATAGTAGTAAAAAGCTATCAAAATAAAAAAAAAACATATTTTTTATGTTTATACTGTTTGAAAAATCAAATAAATAAAAATGTGGATTATAAAAAGAATTTAAGTATCACGAAATAATATGGATTTTATGAAAATGATGAAATCATATGACACATCTTTAAATAAAGATCGAAACAACAAGAGATATAAAAATGTCAAATTATCGTTTCGTTGCGATATATTTACGCGAGATAATTATTTCTCCAACGACGCTTGGATTTTAATATGTATATATGTATTTTGCATCGCAATTTGAATCGTTTTGTCGATTTAAATATAATTTATTTATCATTATCGAATTGAGAGCGCGTTGTAATACACAAATCGAATGATTAGAGCAAGCAAAAATCGTTTAATTTATTTTATAACGCGTTGAATATTCTGTAGTACGTTATATTTAATATCAACAAATTGACTGTCGTACAATGTATTCGCTTTTTACGATGTTTTATTTACAAGCGCGTGACTTTGTTACTCTCGTCGCGACGTTCGAACAAGTATGTTATCATTTCATTACTTTTCGAAACATGTAATACAATTTTCCTGTATTAATAATACGTATATTTCGCAGGGTTTTTGCGTTATTAATATATTATGTTTACAATAACAAGTTTCGATTGTACATTTTTGGGCAGCTCATCGCATTTTAATTAGCCTATTAATTCGATTTGTCTCCGCCGTCTGAAATTTATCTTTTATATTAATTTGTGATATATTGCGGATATCTAGTGGTTTGTAACATTTTTCTAAAGATAATAATAATACCTTTCTTGCCTTATTTTTTTATGGCAATGTTATAAAATGCACGTCACGTATGACTAACGTCGTACTGATTATTGTATTCTTATATTTCTTATTTAATTTTTTATTTATATTTCTTATTTAATTTATTATTCATATTACCTGTCAAAATTAATTGTGTCTATTTCCGCGAGAATAATCTATGCCGGATATATACTCAAATTAAATCTGAATGTTTTCGGGATTGTTATATCTAGAAAAATAAGACGCGCGTGAAGAAAAATTTGTCGATTAAATGGAGAAACATCTCGAGGCTGATAGAAATAACCCAATTCACGTACATGAGTACATATCTCGCGTAATTCTTACAACGCAGTATCGTAAAACGCGCGTGACTGTTGTCATGTTGATTAATGTCCTGCAAGATACTAATTATTGTATTCTAATACGTGTAACATAAATAATTACATTTATGCGTGCGATTACATGCTATTATTATGAAGGAACAAGAGACGACAAGAAGGTTCCCGAGAGGGAGTGAGTACTATTTATAATTGATTTAACTTCTTATTTGTGTGTACGTTATTTTCGCAATATCAATTGCGTTTATTTTCGTGATATAATTTACTCCGCATGTGCGTAAAATAAGGAATATTTATCGGTTAATAAGAAAGAATTTTAGCAATCACATTTTATAATCATGGCAAATATTATATAAATATTATCAATTGATATTAATAAAAAGAAAACAATATTATTAATAGATATTAATATAAATATCTTTCGAGAGTCGTACGTGTTGGCAATTTACTATTTATATACGATGATCCTATCGATTTGACATGAATTTCAGGGAACCGTAGAGATTACACCATATCGATATATATTTCTCAACGCGCGATTTTTCAAGTAATTATAATAAGAATGATCAATGCTTCTCAGAATAACGCACGAAACGATCGAACGATTATCTATATAACAAAATCGCGGGGGTCTTTTTTTTAAGTTTTTATTATCTCAGTGTTCCGTCGAATAGCCGATTATTATTGACGATGTGTACTGACTTTGCGAGATTACAAGATCATGGGGTCAATTCTAATCTGTCTGTTAGTGAAAAAAAAAAAAATGCAAAGCGCATTCTATATAAGAGAGGATTTTGCCGGACAATGTTTCGACAGTAAAATCGAAAGACGGAAAATTGCAGCGGGTTGCGATTTCTGGCGGGTTGCTTTTTGCTTATATACGCTAACATATAGCACACAACAGTGTTGATTTAAAAGCGTGTACGACAAAAATGTTGCCACTCAAAGAAACACTTTCTCTCATGCAGAATAGCAATGAGTATTCGCTTAATAGTTCGAAAAGAGAATCGTCGTGTTTCGCAATAGACGTGCAGCCGAATCTCACCGTTTATCAGAATGAAAAAAGGTATTGTTTCTTTTCTTTAAATATTTAATTAAGAAATAAATTTAATATGTATAATTAACGTATAAAAAAAATTTAAATATATAGATAAACGCAAATGATGAATTCAATATACAAAAATTAATTTGGGAAAAACAGAGAATTTAAATTAATAAAAAAAAAATTAGATTCAAGTAAAATTTCAAAAAAATGCTCTTTTTTTCTAGTATACAGATAAATACGAATTAAGTAATTACATGATTACGGCAAGCTGTTTACATGCATCGAGATAATGCATTGCATCACGGAACGAAAAAAAATTTAATGTCAAGAAAGATAAATTAGAAAGAGAGAAATAAAAAAAAAATAAACTATAATAAATAAATCTAAATGGAATTTGTGTTTAGGGACGACTATGAATTAGGCGCTTATGGTTACGGTAAGAATAACATCAAGTTGTTGTATGTGCGCCGGGACGATGCGTTACATCACGAAATTCGCGAATACGAAGTGGACACGCACTTGCGTCTAATCTCTCAGAAGGATTATAAGGATGGTGACAATCACGACATCATCGCGACGGACAGCCAGAAGAACACGGTTTATCTCATGGCGAAGAAATACGGCATTCGATCCCCCGAAGAATTCGCTCTTCTCATTTGCTCTCACTTTCTCTACACGTATGAGCACATAGCGGAAGTCAGTATCTACGTCGAGGAGTATCCGTGGACTAGACATTACGTTGACAAAGTACCTCATAATCACGCCTTCGTCATGAGCCCCACCGCGACGCGATTTTGTCAAGTCAGCCAGCTCAAAAATGGTATGAATTATAAAAAAAAAAAAAAAAAGGAACACGTGCTTGTGTCGAATTCTTGCCTCATTTAGTTCATATTCCGATAAGATTGATTCGAAAAATTAAAGTGAGGGAAAAAGACTTTTGATAATCACGCGAAATTAAAGAATTAAAGTATTAGAGAATTAAGAATTTTAATTAAGAAATTAATCCGTTGATTAAATTTCGGGATTAATACGGTCTTAGAATCACCACTAATTCGCGGTGGATTGAAGGGACTGCGAGTATTGAAGACCACACAGAGCTCGTTCACGGATTTCATTCAAGATGAGTACAGGACGTTACCGGATATGAACGATCGTATTTTCAGTACTGTCGTAACGGCTACCTGGGAATTCTCCACTGCTACCGGTGTAGATTTTGATAACGTGTGGTACACAGTGAGGGATTCTATCATGGAAAATTTTGCGGGTCCTCCGGACACGGGGATTTACTCGCCCAGTGTGCAAAATACGCTTTACCTCGCGGAAAAGTCTATACTTAATAAAGTCAAGCAAGTAAATATGATTTTTAAATAACAATTTACCGTATTTTATCGTAATTGCAGTATCTAATATATTTTATATAATAATTCGATTTAAATTATCTCACTTTACTTCAGTATACCCTTATGTATACACGGGAATTTATAAAATATTTACAGATTCAGAGCATCCAGATGCAAATGCCGAACAAGCATTATTTCGATATGGATTTCAGCAAATTCTCCAAACTCGTACAAGGACAAAACAGAGAGGTTTACCTACCCGTGGATAAGCCGTCGGGTATTATTTACGCTCAATTAAACAGAAAAACTTTCTCTGCCAGATTATAACCACACATGATATTAAGTGTCTTCTATAACAGATACGAATATTAAATATAATAATATTACATTTGAAAGCTAAAAGTGTTTGTCACAGATTTTTATATATTATACCTAGACTGTTAACAGCGATGTGACAGATGAAGCCAGGTCAGGTATTTACAATTGGGTAGAATATACAGGGTGTATCAAAAGTCTGGATACACTCAAATATCTCGTAAACGTTGCATTTCAGAGAAAAATATTTCAGACAAAAGTTGTAAGGCTTAAAAAGACGCATTCAATGGTAATAGCTGTTTGACCTTGGATGGCGTTGCCAAGGTCAGATCAAGGTCAAATTGAATTTTTTAAATGGAATTGCCTACTTTTTATTGCATATTCTTGTAGCCTATCGCGAAAGCTTTCCAAAACACTATAATAAAGTATTTTTTCATTAAGTACTTTTTGAGTTATTTTATAT